ACTTAAGATATATCAACCAACCAACCTACTGGAAACGAGGTCCAGCGCCCCATTTGAGGCAGAATACTTTCCAAAAAAGGTTAACCCCTGAAGCACAATGTAAAAAGGGGCTAGTCAAATCTAGCTCACATTCACAGAGGTAGTCTACTTCAGGGGCAAGGTCCCACTTGCGCAAATTAGGAGATTTCGGCCGTTGATCTTTGCTATCTACGGTCAGTATCTCTTAATTCATGCAAGTGGGACCTAGCCCCAGACGTAGGAGCCTCTCAGCAGTCTCAGCTCTCGGTCAGCTGGCATATTCCTTGCTGCTGCGGGAGGTGCACTTCCAGTGGGACACAGTACAGAGGGCCTGGCCACATCCCTCTCGAAATGTGCGAAATGAGAATGAACTTCCCGCTAGAACATGGCCAGATGCACCCACCAAATTTTTGTCTTTTCCACTTTGCGACAGTGGTGTGGCCAGGCCAGAGTCTACAGACGGCTGTCCAAGACCGGCGGCTAGGTCCCACTTACACGAATTATTAAGCGATATTGACCGTAGATAGCAAAGATCAACGGCCAGAAAATCTCTTCATCCGTGCAAGTGGGACCTTGCCCCGGGTACTGATGCAATGGAAGGTGCAAGTTACCCAATGAGCATGAACAGCATAGGAGACGTTGTAATTGATGCTTTTTTTTTTTCTTTTTTTTTTTTGAATGGGGACAAGGCTCCAATCTTTGAGGGAGAGCATATATTCGAAGGTGTGAGAGACACAATGCTGTGCTGGCGAGTTTTCTGTGATTTTGCATCATTGAATAATAATTGTCTGACGTTGTCATTTGCTGCTTATTAGTGCAGCTGTGGACTACAGTCTTCCCCCCAATACAACGTACGGTCATTATAGCTGAATTTGGTATATCTTTCAGTCTAAATCCAGCTATAATGACCGTACGTTGTATTCGGGGGAAGACTGTAGTATGCACGGTGTGATCTGCACGTGCTGACGTGTCGGAGATACTTGTCTGTGCAATCAGTCCCCACCAAAAAATGGGACAACTTCAAAAAAGTATCATCATTTCAGATCCTGTTCCACTAAAAATGCAAACCGTTAAAAAAAAAAAAAAAAAAAAAAAAAGG